TTTGAGATCTCTAGATTTTAGGTTTTTCTTTGGGCCTTAGCGGCATCTAAGAGATTGGGAGAAGACGATCCTCTCTCGAATTAAGGAATCTATTGGTATCTTTTTCTTTTTGTTGCATCTTCTTAGTGGAAATACAAGTTCTTGCATCGATTCTTCTCACGATTTTTCGCCCTGGTATGTGCTGATTTTCCCTGCTGTGGACAATAGGTTTCCTGCTGTTTTTTTTCGTGCCTACAAACAGCCGTTTCACTACCTATTTGGCATATTCGATTTGGGTTTAGATTTTTGCTTGCGAACTCAGTATTACCCACTTAGGGTTACTTGCGACTCAAGTAATTTTCCTATCAAATTTTTGGAAGGGGAGTATTGTTAGACCGGTCCACTGGACCGGTCCAAACCGGTCCACCGGAACCCGGCAATTTCGAGAAACAGGCGGGATCTCCGCCTCTCTGCGGAGATCAGGCGAGTCGACCAGTGTGGGCTCGCGAAAATTCGGCCCCGGCCTCCCTGCTTGCTGCTTTTTTTCTTTTTTTTTATTTGGCGATGGAGTTTTAACGGAATAAGTTCCGCGGGTAAATTTTGGAAGGAAGATGGGTTTGTAGATAAGACACTACCACAGAGATTTTCGCCCTCATTTTGCAAGGACTTTATGATGTGAGTTCTGGTTTCCTATAGGCGCAAGCCCCTTTATAGTTAATTACCCCTCCCCGATCACGAGAGAGACTTTCGATTTAAGGCTAGTCGTCAATCAGATTACGTATAAAGAATACGTGTTATCTGGCAAATAGTAGCAGCAAATGGATTTTAGGTACTTGAATGTTTTTGGATTTGGGAATCTGGAGGTTTGATTTATTTAAATAGACTTTCCACGCATTTGCACTTTAAAGCGGATGGTGGAGGAATGGAATGATGGCCCGATCAAAGATCCAATGGTTCGTCGTCCCGGGCCATCTGGGTCACTGGTCTCTTAGGTCAGAGGAGGTAAGTCCCGGCCAACCTGACAGATAAGATCCTTTGTCTGCAGCCATGGGTTGCTTCATCCAAGGGTAACCTTGTAGACTTGGGATGGATATTTGCCTAAGGGACAAATTTAAAATCCATCTTAGCTAACATAAAGGCTTTGTGCCCCTTCAAGGTTATGTCATTAAAGGAGCGTATTGGTCTGGCATAACCGGGTAATTCGTGGTGCATTTTGGCGGCAAAACACTCGGTTTCAAGGGCCCGCGGGTCGTCATACAAACGTTTATCATGAAGGTGCCATTTGGCGGCAAACCGTCGGTTAAGGACACGTATCACGTCCTTACTGGCAGGAGACTGTTTGAGATGGATCCTAATGTATTTTCGACTAAGGCATTTTTGCTCTTTGTTGGACTGAAGTTAAATTTTGATTTTGTCCACCCCGGCACTGTTGCGAGGGTGGATGTTATCTTGATTTAAAATGATTGATGGTTTTGATTTTGAATTTAAATATCTGGATTTTAGGATTTGTGGAATTTGGATTTGTGGGTGGAGTTTGGAAGACATTTTGGAAATATTTGAGACCCTCCGGTTGAGATCATCAATTCAGCACGGCCACCATCGGGGTGCTCGGGGTCATTTTTCATTTTAAGCTTGAATCTTGTGACTCTAATCTGGCTGTCGACAGAGGATCGGGTTTCATAAGGCTTTTATGTCTTTGTTTTCATAGGAATTTTTCCTTTGTTGAAAGCCTTGAAGGCCGAATAATGAAATGTACAAAATAGAATATCTGGTCCAACTTAGTGACTACATATTTATTTATTATCTGCAAACCCTGTCTACTCCTATTTTTATCTACTTAGGAGGATCGGGTTTTCAATAAGGCTTTACATGCTTTATTTGCGAATTTTCTTGATTGTAGGCCTTGAAGGCGCTAATATGAATGTATTGAAATAATTACCTAGTGCCCAACCGTTGTTATTCCGTTTTAAAAGGTTTGAATCCTGTCGACTTCTTTGATACGTAGTAGAAGGATCAAGGTTCGAACTAAAATTCACTTATGGGGACCCGTGCAGCAATCCCTAGGCATCCGTGTGTAACCAATAACACGCTCGCCGGGGCCCAAGAGGGTTACAATTGATTTACCCCTTTGTGTACCTATGTGTATACAATACGGTGCATTTGTGTTGGGTACCTTTGAAAATTTTTGTAGTTGTGCAGGGTAACAGCCATTTGAGTGGCGCACAACTTTTCATTTGAGGGCCTTTGTACACACCTTCTGTCCGCTAGCACGAGTATTGTGGATCCCGGTGGCGTGGCGTTGTAGACGCCTTCTGTTTGAAAGTTCTCTCTCGTTATCGAGAGGGGTAATTAACTATAGGGGCTTGCGCCTATAGGAAACCAGAACTCAGATCATAAAGTCCTCGCAAAATGAGGGCGAAATCTCTGGGTAGTGTCTTATCTACAAACCCATCTGCCTTCCAAAATTTACCTCGGAACTTAGTTCGTTAAAACTCCCTCGCCGAATAAGAAAAGCGAGTGGAGGCCGAGGCCGAATTTTCGGAGCCCACAAATGGCCATTTTGGTCCCTCATGTCCTTAAAGAGCAACTAAAATAGTCCCATTATGGGACTATTTTGGCTCCTTTTTAAAAGTTGAGGAATCAAAATGATCATTGAGGAATGAGGATCATTTTAATTCTTCATAAAGAGTCAAGGGACCATATTGGTTCTTTTCTCGTTGTTATTTATTTCCAATGGAAGTCTTTTGTTTTATACATACAACTATAAAATTCAAAATAGTTTTTTCTATTTTTCTACCTTTCAAAAGTTACGAACAATGATCTCTTAATGATAGTTGGCTTCTCTTTACATGTGTCATTGGTTACTAGTGTTGATTCGCCCTTTTATGTGAGAAGAGTTATAACTCATGCTAACAAGCTGATTCAATGTTATTGGAATGGACTTTGACCTTATAATGGATTCCAATTAGCTGAACATATTTCGCCTCATAGCTCATTTAATTTTATCTTTCTGATGCACCTTGAACAACTTGAATCTTGATCTTTGGCTCCTTATCCGAGACATGTATGTCATAAGCAGTCATATGAACCTCCCTGACTATGTAGGTTTATAATGATTGCAAGGACGGACTATGAAATATGTAAAACAGCCAAGGTAGGAGTTTAGAGATCTAAGAATTTTGATTATGTTATATATATTGAAAGGGATATATATTCGAAGGAAGTCGAGAAGGAAACATGAAAATATTACTTTGAAAATGATTAAATGACAGTTTTACTGATAAAATTTCTTGGAAGAACATAATAAACAAAATAATGAGGTATATTATTGAATTGATTTAAAAAAGTGAAGTGAAATTAATTTTTAAGAAGCAGAAAGGTAGAGTTTAGTTACATATATGACCTCTTATTCAGATTTAGAGAGTTGTAGTGATATACGGGTTGTTTGTCTAGCAAGTCTTTTTTTTTATTGAAAATTAATGCTAAAAAATATTTTCATATTAGTACTAAAAACAAAGTAGTTTATCTAATATTATGATATTTATAGGGGAATCAAACCTATGAGTCATATAATGAAGTTATGGGGAGAGAGATGGAATATAATAATCAATTTGGTTAAGTGCTAGTAAAATTCAATATGGAGAGGTGATTTTTGAGTAAAGTCATTTATTGGAAAAATAGTGAGCAATGAAAGGATACATTATTTGTTAATATTATTGAGAAGGAACATGATTATCAAAAGAATTAATTTGATGAACACCAAGAAAAAAAAATTGTTTCAAAGGCATATTAAAGTATCATGAAACTTATGTTTAATAAAGGGTTGACTTCTTCTAAGATTTTCCATGGAATGAAGTATGAACAGAGTTTCCAAGTGATGTTGGCTTGCTAAAAGGTTTTAGTATTTTAGATAACATCTTTTTGTATTGGTTATGAAGAAAAGGATATTCAAAATTAGGTGCTTTATTGTATACTTTTGAATATATTTTTCTCAAATGATATGTCTCTAATCAAGGAGAGATTTTTTGAAGTGGAACGGCATAATAATGAAGAAAATGTTTAGAAGATGTAAGGGCTCAGGATTAATAGATTGAAGACAAACTACTTATTATACTATTCTAGTGAGTGTAACATTAGTTCTTGTCAATGAATATTACTAGAAGTGAAAATGATGCTTAGCATGATATGTACACATCTAAATCTATTATTCAAAATAATTGGGGAATAGATGATGATAATTTTTAAAGTTGATGGATGGTTAGAATAAAGAAATACTTCAGGTATTATTAGATAAAAGAATATCATGGTGATTAAAGTATATTTTATAAAATTGTAATTTGATATGTTGGGATTTATGGATTTGAGTGTTGGATAGTAAAGAGATCACTTATAGTTAAATTAAGAGTGATAAAAAAGATAATGTTAGGATAGATGTATTGAAACTAGGAATGATAAGTTGATAAAAGATTATTTTAAAAGGATACTAGAAATACCAATTATTGATGATATGGTTCTATAAATAGATTTTGATAATTTTAGCAAGAAAAGATGAAGGGTAGAAAGATGCACCAATAAAATAGATTAATAAAAGTAATACCAAAGGATTAAGAAGGAAAAACAGGTTGATTTAAGGTATCTTTGATACAATTTTACAGCTCATGTGATATTGAATTAAACTGAATGGAGAATGATGTGGTCCTACGTGGTTGGGAGGATTCTCATGATTTTAATGGTGTTCCTAATTCTGTGGTATGAGTGTTAAAAATTTTGATCTTTTCAATGATTAAGTTCATAAAATTAAAGTTTTTCTGGAATTACATTACTATAAATGTGGAACTCCTCTTGAATTGATCATTTTGACGAAAAGTGTACCTAGAAGGTGATTTCTAGTACCACAATATTCTTGGATTCCGCAACCCCCCTGCCATTTCTCCCTTCCTCCCTCTTTTTCATATTTTTTATTTTTTATTTTTTGTTTGCCTAATTGTTACCTTTTCTTCTGTTCACATTTAATTCAGACAGGTTTTTGTTTGTTACACATCCTCGGCAGAGTGATTCCAACTTCCCATAGAGTCAGACTATCCACCTATTCTCATTTTTTTTCCTCCCCGGCGGTTACATAGGTCCATTCTACCCCACTCATCTTTTTTGAGTAGTTTCAGAGAAAACAAATAAAAAAAATTAATGTCATATTTTTAGTATTCTTGTGCTGATTTAGTGAGATCTTTTTATTTTTGAGCTTATTTATTTTCTTTAATTGATCTGAAAGAACACTTGTTCTAATGCTGTTCTGTTGCTCTTTGAGTTTAACAAGTCACTTGGACTGCCCAGAATGTATAGTAGCGCAAGCTTTTTGTTTGTGGTCAATATTTCTTACATCTTTAAGTTTTACATCAGTGATATCCAAATTGTTCTCACCCAAACTTGATCATCCAAAATTTTTCTGAACGCCTCTAAGCTTTTGAACATTTACCATATAGATTTAGATAATAGTGCACCTGCTATAATTCTAATTTTTGTTATGAAAATGTTTCAGGTACATTACTACCTTTTTACTCATATGGTTTCTTAGTAAAAGAGCTGTTATACTACCTCCTAGGATTCAAGAGCTACAGTTTGGTGGTTACGTAAAATCTGGTGAGCTTTTTTTAGTGTTAAAATTCATCCTAATTTTATATTTTTTCTTCTACTATGACTGTAGTCTGAGTTGTGTCCTTTTTCAGTGTTATTATTATTATTTTTTGCTTTCGATGACAGAGCCTTAATGGTTAACGCCATTGCACAACTATAATTTGAATGTCAACAAATTTTCTTTACTAGTTGCTTTATCAAGGATTTATTTTTTTATACTTGCAGTCAATTGTTGGCTAAGATAAGCATACATGTAGCTCTTATATTATTTTTTGAGAAAAGGACAAAAATGATCCCTCAACTTTATGTGAGGGACCAAAATGGTCCCTCAACTCTACTAAATAGGACCTTTTTGGTCCCGCCATGTGATGGTGAAGTTGATAGTATTAATTATGAGGACAATTTGGTCATTTTTAATTAAAATATTCAATCAATGAGTTTAAGTAGGTTTTATACTTTTTGTAAAAAAAAAATTATTAAACTTTTCTTTAATAAAAAAATTAAATAAATTTAAATTTAATAATTTCACTATTTTTTAAATGTTTATGTATGCAAGACAAGCTCTAATCACAAAATTTAAATTTAATAAATTTAAATTCAAGATAAGCTCTAATCTCACGAAAGTAAAAAAAAAACTTTTGGCATTGTTTTAGTACAAACATTGTAGCTAAAGCAAAAATACATTTCATTTAATGATCAAGCATTTCTATTTTCAATCAAAATACATGAGTATGTCAATACCCCATACAAAAACTCTGGATCAAGAAGACAATAGCATAAAGTATGTCCATTCTCCATACAAAAAATCACTTAACAAAACCAAAAATATATTTCATTAATGGCTTTTCCATACCCAAACAAAATTTCATGTGCTTCAAAATGCTCATTCAATGAGATTTTTTTCTTTTGGAGGTGTAAACCTAAAAAAAATATAAATATTTAATTAGATTGACATGCATAAGAAGAAATGAATTACGAAAAAAAGTGAATCAACATATTAAAAGTGTTGCATTTGAAGATCCTTGAGTGAGAACTTCCAAAGCAGGTTTAGTTTGAGGTCGTCTGATGCAATCAAAAATAAGCAAAAAATAGGCCAACCATAATTTTTTGCTAGAAAAGATATTTCCTTACTAGGATAAAGAAATTACATAAAGACACTTTTGAAATAACAAAAACAACAACTTTATATCATATAAAACGACCATACAACAAAAGACACTTACAAACGACTCAAACAAAACACCTAAAGTTGCATTCATCCATTGAGAGAAGAAAGATACAAGTGGGGTGGATTCTTGCGGGTAGAAGAAGAGGTTAGAAGCCAAGACGAAACATAGGAGAAGCTCGCAAGCATTCCCATGAAGAAGAGAAGAGAGAAATGGAACAAGCTCGCAAGCTTTTCCAACAAAACCCTTAGATTTTCTATTCCAAAAATCTCATTATAACACACTTTTTTTATTCCAAAACATCTACTATTTATAGACCAAAAGAGGGCAGCTAAACAGCCCCTTAAAGCATTAATTAAACCTATTAGATTTAGGGAAATGAAAGGCCAACAACCACCAAACAGCAGCCCCAAACCGGCTCAGGAAATAGGGAAAAAAAGGCCACGGGAAACCTAGCAAGCAGCCATGGGAAACCCAACCATCAAGGGAACCGAGGAGCCAGCACAAAGAATAAAGGGCCAAGGCACAGGAAAACCAGCCAGCACAGGAAAAACAGCTAGGGCCACGGGAACAACAAAAGCCCAAGAGAAACCGAGGGGGCAAGGAGGAAACCGAGAAGGCAGCATGGGGAAGGGGAAAAGCCAAACTTTTCCACACATAATGAGCTGAAATTAGTAGAGAAACCTTTTTGAATTAATGAGCTAAAGTCACAACTTAAGCATTTATGAGCTAAAACCAGGTAGATCCCAAATATTAGCTCCAAATCAAAGCAAACAAGGCCCAAACCGAGAGCACCAGCAGCCCAAGGGTCAAAACAAATTCTCATATTGTTTTGACCTCCCCTTTGCATGCATCAGATACTCCCCTACTTGAAAAACTCATCTTCTGATGAGTTGTCTTTTGATTTGATCCGAGGAGGCGGTGGAAGTGCATCTAACTCTTGAATCTTTGCCGCACACTTCTTCAGGATTTCATCTCGCTCTTGCTTGAATTGTTCTTGCAGATGCCTCCTTTTCTTCAAATAATTTTCCATACTCATATGCATCTTTATCTGTAGTTTGAATAATTCGTTCTGTATCAGATCTGTTGAATCGCCTTCTGTTGGAACTTATCTGTTCATAGGGATTTGGAATTAAGGAACACCTGGCTGATTTTCTCCCACTTCTGATTCACTGATTTTGTTGTTTTTCATTTTTTTTTCAAACACTTAAAAGAAAACACAAAACTTAAAAGACACAACACTAGAATAACAGAAACCTAGGAAGACACAAACATAGGCTCACATGACACACATAACAACTGCTATGACTCACCAAGACTTACTCGACAAACCGGGATAAGAAATTGCTCTGATACCAAATTGATGCAATAAAAAATAAGAAAAAAATTAGGCCAACCCTAATTTTTTGCTAGAAAAGACATTTCCTTACTAGGATAAAAGAAATTACATAAAGACACTTTTGAAATAATAAAAACAACAACTTTATATCATATAAAACGACCATACAACAAAAGACACTTACAAACGACTCAAACAAAAAACCTAAAGTTGCATTCATCCATTGAGAGAAGAAAGATACACGTGGGGTGGATTCTTGCGGGTAGAAGAAGAGGTTAGAAGACAAGATGAAACATAGGAGAAGCTCACAAGCATTCCAAAGAAGAAGAGAAGAGAGAAATGGAACAAGCTCGCAAGCTTTTCCAACAAAAACCCTCAGGTTTTCTATTCCAAAAATCACATTATAACACACTTTTTTTATTCCAAAACATCTACTATTTATAGACCAAAAGAGGGCAGCTAAACAGCCCCTTAAAGCATTAATTAAACCTATTAGATTTAGGGAAATGAAAGGCCAACAGCCACCAAACAGCAGCCCCAAACCCGCTTAGGAAACAGGGGAAAAAAGGCCACGGGAAATCAAGCAGGCAGCCACAGGAAACCCAGCAGGCAGCCACGGGAAACCCAGCCATCAAGGGAACCGAGGAGCCAGCACAGAGAACAAAGGGCCAAGGCATGGGAAAACCCGCCAGCACGGGAAAACAGCCAGGGCCACGGGAACATCAAAAACCCAAGAGAAACCGAGGGGGCAAGGAGGAAACTGTGAAGGCAGCATGGGGAAGGGGAAAAGCCAAACTTTTCCACACATAATGAGATGAAATTAGTAGAGAAACCTTTTTGAATTAATGAGCTAAAGTCACAACTTAAGCATTTATGAGCTAGAACCAAGTAGATCCCAAAAATTAGCTCCAAATCAAAGCAAACAAGGCCCAAACCGAGAGCACCAGCAGCCCAAGGGTCAAAACAAATTCTCATATTGTTTTGACCCCCCTTTTGCATGCATCATCGTCACTCCAAAAACTCCGAGGGCTAGTTAAAATAACATTTTTGAAATGAAAATTGTTGACATTTTGAAATTAAAATTGATTAGATGTTATAACTTACGATCTCAACATATGGTTGGAACACTTCCTGAACTTCTCCTTGTCCTTGTTCAGTATTTATTCTCTTATCACATGTTAAGCTATTGTGCCCACTTTGTCCACATCTACAATAGTGAAGCTTAACATTAGCTCCCTTAATTTTTTAGGGATTTAATGTGATGGTTCTTCATTGGTTGTTCTTCTTCGCATCTTCATTGGTCTTCCCCTATTTGATTTATTGTATTTTGGTGGCAATGGTGGTATTCTGTTACTCATTGGCCACTCATTAACACCGTTCAATGACTTTATGTTTGATTCATAAATTTTCATGTAAGTTTCTTTTGCGTAGAAGGGATGCACAAAATCTTCGCAGTCTCCCATTGTCGTATAGATTGCAGCACATGCGTGTTCGCATGGAATTCCACTTCCACTTCTGACAATAACAAGATTTTAAGTCCAAATTGACCTTGTACTGACCTCCATGTATAGTACTTATCTCATAGTCATTATCATCTGATTTGTAAACTATGCAAGAACCTGCTTCATGCATATTTTTTCCCATAATTTCCTTTATTCTAGGACATAGCTTTCCATTCCAAGTTAATGCCTTCTTCTTGTTCTCCACCATTCTTGTCATAACCATTGCTCTAATACTTTCCAGCATCGATATAATGGGTAATTCTCTAGCATCATGAATGTATGAGTTAAAACATTCGCTGATATTGTTGAGCAATGTGTCACATTTAGGTGTAAAACTGAAATGAGACTAGGACCACTCATTTGGAGCCTTATCATTTAACCATTTATGCGCTACAATGTTTAATTGCTCCAACTCTTTCATACTGAACTTGAATTGGTTAACAGTGCTTGCCTTTGCTGCTACCTATAAGGCATTCTTCAAAGCCATGCTAGTGCAACCGACAAATTTTAAATTTTGATGCAAATGGCTTACACAATATCTATTGATAACATCATGTAGAATGTTCTGGAAAGCAGGTACTAAACTTTTTTGCTTATCTGAAATGAAAGTATATTGTTGCTGATTCTCCAAGATCTGCAGATCTTTACCTAACAACAACAGAAATCATTCCCAACTGCTTCTACTTTATATCTCAACGACTTCCCATGCAATAGGAAATATGATATTATTAACATCAAGCCCTACAATTGTTAAGAGTTGACCTCCTTGTTGCCCTTTCAGAAAACATCCATCAACACCAACAATCGGCCTACATCCCGATAGAAAGCTTTTTTTGCATGCGTCAAAGCAAACATAAAGTCGTTGAAATCGTTTTCCCACATAAATCTTGGTCTTTAGTAGTAAGCAAAAAATTGTTGATTCTGGATTACTCCCTAATACATCCAGACAGTAGTCCCAAATTTTATTAAAATGATCTTCCTCCTTCAAGTAGATGAATTGATGTGCCTTCTTTAGTGCCTTTTTGGCTTGAGGTTTTGATACATGCAATTTCAAGCATCCATAACTTCTTTCTAAAGACACTACATCTTATATGGGGTTTGAGTTTGACTCTATTCACAGACCTCTTTGCAATAACTATTGATGTCAAAGTCTTGCTATGATCTATGTACATGTATGATCTTGTAAAGATTTAATCTACCATGACTTGCTTCCTTGATGTGTTGAGATATAAATGATAAAAGAGAAGTTAGGGCGTCGGTCTACATATAACCTTACATCTTTTATCATTCTTTATAAACTTAATTGTTTTCCCCGTCAAAATAGACCAATTTTCAACAGCGGTTTTGAACTCCTTCCCACTAAATGGCATGCTTATTTCGAAATGGTTGGTATTGAAATCTGTCATTAGGTTGAAGGTTGGCCATTTATAAATTTCTTCTTCATCACTGCCATGAAGACTACCATCATCACCCGAGTCCACAAAATCACTATCACACTTTCCCCCTTTAAAATTATAGTAGGATTTTCTTCAATGGTTCCAATGATTTGCTTTCCTTTGAGTTTAGTTCTTTATTTCATATGCAAAACAATCATCAACCTTGTCATCATCATCAACATCATAACAATCAACACTATCGTCTTTACCATAACCATCACTATTGTTAACCTGTACATTACTGTTAATACCATTCTCCTCAGTTAAACCACCAAATAATTGTGAGAAATTAGAATATTCAAGCCACTCAGTAGGTATTTCATTTCTAAGATTTAGTCTTATTGTAAAATATTGAAAGTTAACAAATGCCAAGAAAAAAATAATCAAATCCGCAAAATAAAGTTTTAAAAGAAAATAATACCTCTTGACTATGTTGTGTTCGACTATGTGACTCTTTGCTCCCGAGTAGCGGGCGAGGTAGGTGCGGTGAACAGCAAAAGATTCATAGTAAGTGTTGCAACGTCGATCCCGAATGAATGAAGATCTCTAGACTGCTGTGGGACTTGTGTTCGAACCGGTCGATGGCTCGCCATGGCTTCGGATGGTCCCTAAGGCTACAGGAGCAGGAGCAGGAGCAATAGTCAACGTGTGCGCGGGGCTGCGAACTGTGGTCTTATGTAAGCCCAAGGGGCAAAGTTATCTTTTAGTTTCTTTTAAGGTCTGTATATAGAGGCCCTTGCTCTTGTATTGGACAATGATGGATTATTAATAAAAAAAGTTTTGCACTCTTGTTCTTTGAGAAGAATTTTGGTGAGATCCCTATGGGAGAGAATCTTAGTATCCACCAGCCACTGAATGGGTCCGGGCTTGTGGTTGAAGTCTTTTGGTGAAGGGCAACGTATCACTCGTCAGCTGCAGGAAACGTCCGGGCTCACGATTTTATCTTTCTTTCCCTACACTTATTTTCTCCTTCTCCCTTGACCGCCATCCATACCCCCTCCATAGCCGCCGGCCAAGCTTACCTCTTCCCTCAGCCCACTCTATAAACCGAACTCCACCACCGCCTCCTAGCCGGCAACCCCATCCCCTCCATTAAGCACCGGTCCCTTTCCCCACAACCCTCCCCTTCCCCATCGAAATCCACACCTCCTCCCTCTTCCCTTGGTTCCACCCATTCAAATCTTGCATTCAAAGCCCTCCAATTTGAGCCCTGCTTATTTTGTGAATAATTTAATTTCATATTCCAATAAATTTAAATTTTGAATTTGTTTCCTAAAATGAGAATCCCTATTTTAGGAAAGTTCCTAAATTTATGCCCATTTGAATTTTAAATAAGATTGGAATTAAGTCAATCCTTCATAATTTAAAATTCTAATTCAAGCAAGCATTAATTTTCCTCTCATAAACCCCTCCCCTCCTTGAGACTGCCGGCCCCTACTCATCCACAAGTTTGAATTTCAAATTCAAATAGCCTCTTGATTACTTTCCTAAATTAATTAATTGTTAATTTGGAAAGCTTCTTAAATTGAATTCAAATAGATTTGAATTTCAAAAACCTTTTCGGATTAATAAATCCATTTTAGGACGCCCCTCCAAACTCTCCAAATCTAAAATTAATTTCAGATTTAATTCCCAATCCTAATTAATGCTCGATTCACATTCATTGAACCTAGACACCTCATCCTTCCCTCACACTTGGCCGGCCCCTCTCTCCCCTCTATCCTAATGATTTTCTTCCTAATTAAAGACCCCAATTAAGGAGATAATTAATTCCTCTCTTCCCTCCCTTCTTTCTTGTTTGAATTTCAAATTCAAATCCATTAATTGAGGGAAATATGAGATGGAATTTTAGATCTTTAATTTTATTAACTCCCCCCTCGTTCTACATCACGCTTAGTTTTGACTGAACGTCCTAGGTCCCACTCGAGCTGCTCCAAATCACGGAAATCCCGATATTGGACAGGGAAGACAGAAATAGGCTTAGTGTTTTAAGGTAATCTCAGCCATTTAATTTGAATTTCTTGATTTGGAAATATGCAAAGTGAAAGATTAAGTGGATAAGGGCTGGATTTGATCAGGGCTTAACCAAATAAGCTGGTTTAGACGAGATTTTAGCTTGATTTGGATTTGGTTAGATTCAATTAAGCGTGAATTGGACTCCGTTTAAAAATTGAGTCAACACTCCTGCTGTATGATCTCTCTTTATGCCATTAAAGATGAAATTTAAAGTTACTGTTGACTTTATATAGTATGAACGAACTGCCTTCTTAGTTAAATGCTTGGACTACGTGTGCGAAGAGCATAATAATGAATATGTGGTCTTGATATAGTATAATTCTAATAAAATTAAACTTTCTTAGGTGGTTTGCTGCTCGGGAGAACTTTATCCGTCTTGATAACCATGACTCTAGGAACCTCAATGGCTGCTCGGTTAGGGCCTTTGGCTATGGCTGCTCATCAGATTTGTTTGCAGATATGGTTGGCTGTATCTCTTCTGTCTGATGCACTGGCTCTTTCTGCACAGGTTTGCATTTTTATAGTTTAGTCATTTTCTATTCCCTCTGTCCTTTTTTAGTTTTGACTACATATTGTTTGAATCTTTCATAAATTTTCCTTAATGGCCTTTATTTCTTTTTTTCCTTTCTAAGAAAATAAAAACATATACATTTGATTGCCTGGACTGCATGTTTTCCAAACATAGATGGTATATATATGATTTTTATTGCTGATCTATATGTACATGCAGCATATATATACTCATTCGGTAATTTTTTTTGTTTGATTGTTAGGCATTGATTGCAAGTTCTTATGCAAAGTTCGATTACAAAAGAGTGAAAGAGATTACACACTGTGTCTTAAAGGTAATTTTCTCTTTATTTATGCCTACTGCTTAATATTTTGATGCTACGCAAGTTATATACTATTTTTAATGTTATAATTTTACCTCCAGCTAAGAATTTATTGTGCATCTTGATTAACGAATATGCTTTTCTATCTCAGACAGGACTTCTTACAGGAATCGCTCTAGCTATAATTCTTTTTATGTCATTTGGCAATATTGCTGAATTATTCACCAAGGATGTAGAATTATTAAACATCGTTAGAACTGGGGTTGTGGTAAGCAATTTTAACACACTCGGTCTGATTTACTTTCTCAATGTGGAGGAATTGGCTTCTTTATAAATTCGTTTCAGTTTGTCAGTGCCAGCCAACCCATTAATGCCCTCGCTTTCATTTTTGACGGACTTCACTATGGTGTTTCAGATTTTGCTTATTCAGCTTATTCAATGGTATGTTGAACTTCACGAGCCCTCTTTATGACATTTTGTCCATGCATTTAATGTATACCTGTTTTGACCACTTTGAGAAGTAACATACTTCACTGTATATAGATGGCTGTTGCTGTGATATCATCTGCAGTTCTACTCTATGCTTCTCCTCGTTTTGCTATTAATGGAGTCTGGTGTGGCCTAACACTTTTCATGACTTTGCGTATGGCTGCAGGAATTATGAGGTGAGCATTTTCGTGTTCAATGAAGGATCTTCACTCTTCAATTTGTTCTCAGAAACTGCATAGATTTAGTAGTCTTCCGAGGACCTTTTTTCTTATGAACTTGAATCACAATTTTAAAGCTTACAATTACTATCTGATTAATTTTTATATGAGCTGTTCTTAGAGGATGGTCCTGGAGTCATAGTTAAATTGTATTTATTGTGAACTGGAGGTCATTAGTTCAAATCATGGAAACATTATTTCTACATTGGGGTAAAGATACATACATCAATTTCTCCCTAAACCTTATATTGCCAGGAGCCTCATGCACTGTAGAAAGAAGTAACTAGGAAAACTTAGATTTTTAAATTTTTTGAATGAGCATTTTCACTTAAAGCTACATAGAAAAAAAAAAAAATACAATAGCAAACGCAAAAAATAATTAATCCTAGTAGGTATTAGCTCGTCATTTGATCCATTTAGGGGTTGCTGATTGATGCCAAGCGAGCAGTAGTGTGATGGCTCTTTGTTTATTGTATACTAACATGTGGGAGAGGTATTTCCTTACAAGCAATGAATTAGTGGCCTCTTATTTTTTCTCATCTAGCACTCCCGTCAGCCCTTCTTGGTTATGGCTCTTTAACACTCACCTTCAATTGGATGGCAGAGATCAATCATTCAAAGTTTGTTTATAATATTTTTGAATGTGGGTTTTTTGAATCCTTTGGTGAATATGTCGGAAAATTGTCATCTATTTGGGACTAATAGAGTGCAAGATCAATCCGCTTTCTACTTTTTTATTTATTAAATATCTATCCACTTTTACATATTTGATATGATCATGTTGTATAGGATCATGAACAATGCTTATGATAGATTTATTCTCGCAAAAAATCTGCATATTCTATTCTCATATAATTTTTAAATCTCCCAGAATGATTTTAAACTATAGGAGATATCTTCAACAATTGCTTTGAATTCAGATTCAACGTTGAATCTTGAAACAATAGATTGCTTCTTTCTTCTCTATGTTATCGTGTCCTAAAGTGGATCTCCTATCCACTGGTGAATCTGTAAATTCTACATTAGTATAACCTTCAAGCTGTAGATTGTTATTATATTTTTTTTGTGGACTTGATTTAAGTTACCTAAGAACTTAGTAATTAGGTGAGATTTCTTGGGTTTGTTCATAAATTGACTTATGAGACTTACTGCAAATGCAATATTAGATCATATTTGCCTTAGATTAATTTTCTAATTAATCATTGGTATTGTCTGATGCTGACTTCTATTTCTTCATCTAATCTGTCTAGTTTCTGACCTGATTCATTTGGAGTTTTAAATGACTTACAATTAATTATCTTTGTTTCCCATAATAGGTTCATAGCATATTTTTGTTTACGCTCATCTCTACTTTTTTAACATAAGCAAAATCTAATACATTTACTCTTTTAACCGGATCATCGAAAGGCTGCTGTTTTATGGTACATGACCCCAAGAATATAAAAAAATGATGGGATAAATGAACTTTCGTCTCTGGGTATTAAATGCGAATTTAAAACTTTATGGCAAAGTTTTCTCTTGAGTTTGTGGTGGTCCTTTTTTTGTCCGTGTTTTTTATGACCATTGATGTTCTCATCAATATGTTGTATTTAAATAATTATATTTATGAAGGTGAATGCTTTGCAACCAATTTCACTTAATATCTGAGCTCCTTACAATATTTTCTTGAACTTTATTTATTTTTGTTTTCATAGCTTCAGTTTAGCACATTGCTAATTGCATTTCCTTATGTTCTCTCATATATGGGGTGCATCTCATGATAGATATTCGTTAATTGAGTTATTTCTGGCTTATGAACGTGTTCAAAGACTTGTATTTTTTAAAAAGAGTAATCTAGCTCCCTAAATATTTTGTATGCATTCAATAAGCTCAAAATTTTAAATTGTGCATTGTAATGCTGCTAATGCAGATTGTGTTGGAGATCAGGGCCATGGTGGTTCTTACAACACGACGAAGTGAAATATGAGGTGGTTTTTTTATTTATTTATTTTTTATTATTATTATTTTAATATGAGGTGGTTTGATAACGTTAAAATGCATTTTTCTTTATGTTTATGTGAGTCAATTTCTTTTATTGTTTACTCTTTTGTTTTTTTCTTCTGTTACCTATGAATATATTGGGACGTTATCACCATCCTTATTATCCAGCTTTTTGGGGTCTGTGATGTCGGTACAACATTAATTAAATTCAGTAGTTAGATTTTTTTAACATGCAATTTAAGCTGGTCTATGAGTTGTGAAAGTTACTGATTAAATGTTAATCTAATTTGATGAAGCTTAAGGTTTCATTTGAAATAGTTTTCTTATTGTTTTCTAAAGCAACCTTTTAGTATAAATTTTTTTTGAAAATGTTGAAAAAATAATGGTGAAAAGCTGTCCCAAATGAAACTTAAGTCTTGCCTGAAACCTCAGAATAATTATCCGTCTCTAATAGCTTACTTGTTAGAGACAGCTTACTTGTTACTTCCTGTTTCTTCTAGGAGTTGCTAAATTGATTAGCTTAAAATTTTAGCCATGCCTTCTTCCAGCTAACTGTGGCATCAAGACGGTATAGCCCATTAGTTACACTAAAAGAAATGAAAGGGTTGATGTGCTATATTTGTCAGAACATTAAAATTCCTTTTTAAGAGATCCTTTTCTTTTGCAAACAAGGCTCAACATAACTTATTTTTGAAGTTTAGTTTTGAGAATATCTTCATGCATGACAAAATAAAACCTTGTTGTGGATTATTTTATGGTTTGAATATTTAATTTCTTAAGACTATCTGATCCTTATTATAAAATCTTGATAGACTTGCTCAATTAGAATTTATGCGTGGAACCCTTTTTCGAGTTCCTTATACCATAGTCTAAGCAACGCCACCATGGTCTCATATATAATAAGGACACTGTTTGAAGCTTCGTCAATGGGGACTTCTGGGCTCAACCTACTTTTTTTATTCTTAAGGAATCACTTTGGTACATTTGGGGACTTCGCCAATGGGGACTTCATCAATAAAGATGATTTTTTCCATTATTTTCACATTTTAACTAGGTAAAAATAACCAGCATAACTATATGATTGGTTGACATCTCAAGGTACTATTAGCATCACTTGTATGTTGATAATATAATTTATATCCACCAATATGAGATCAAAACATATAAATCTCAACATTGACACCATTTATCTTCAAACAAAAATAAATTGGAAGTATTACATATATTTGACAAAACATGATCTAAACTTATTACTACATCAAATTTAATAATATTGCATCCATATCACCTATACAACCACCAAGAATGGAACAGTGGAGAATCGCTCCTGGAGGCAACACAACCAACTATCCTTTATCAGCACAATAGACAATAGCAAGAGTTCGCATATTAAGCTTAACAGATTAATAATACTCTGATAAGCACAAGTAGGATGATAGCGGGGCTAACACAATATGAATTAGCGGGGTATATTTATTGATTATAATCATAAAGCATGCCATTGAAATAAATATTTACCAAGAGCACCAATGTTGTATTAGCAGTCATAGATCTTACATGCCCTTGTACGTAATGCAATAATGCATTGAATGGAAAGACCTAGGCTCAATGGCACATTACATGGTTAATATGATAATACAGTAACAATGGTTTACAAAACAAAGTCTATTCCCCGCTTTCTGAAATGATGTCGCACAAGAAAACCAGAGCAAAGACCCATGACTGAATTAAGCTGATAAAAATAGAAAATAACTGCAAATGATTTGCAAATGTATTTTTCAATGGAATGAAGAGAGAATATATCTCATAAGATTCTTTTTATAAAGCTTGGAACACGGAGGACAGGGACTTCTAAACTTTCTCTGAACCACCAGTGCATTCCTGCAATTCTCGGCAATTTAAGTGCTTCATTCAATTCTTTAAACCCTTGGCATGGTACATTCTTGCTATACCTGTAATTCTTGGGAGTTAAAAGTTCATCATCCAACAAAGAAGTTCTTCAGCTCCTTAAATTGGGTTTCTTGTCACCAAAATTGCTTGCAGTCAATGTGATCGCCTAAGTGGTAAAAAAGGATAAGCAAGATCGTGTAATATCATGATTCAAGGAGAGATATGATACGCCCTAGGGTTCCCAAGTTTGGGTTTGCCCTAATGCTCCTTCAAAGAAAAGATTTCTCCTTCAAATCAAGGAAAAAATCAACACAAGAGGGATGAGATGAAGAACCAAAACCTTTGCATTCAAAATCCAATGGAAAACAAAATACAATTTGTCCACTTCGAGAAGGACAAGGTCTCCCACTACAAACCCTAGAAAAACAAGAGAAATAAACTAAGGAGGCTAAGAGAAAACTCAAATCTTGCATAACCCTAGAAATCCCCCTTAATCCCTACTTATAGCAAGCAAAAGACCAAACCAAACCCACTAGTGGGCTGCCCAAACTGAACCGCC